ATATATATATATATATATATATATATATATATATATATATATATATATACATATATAAATATGTGTGTGTATATATATATATATATACATATATTTATATATATATATATATACATTTATATATATATATTTATATATATATATATATATATATATATATATATATATATATATATATATATATATATATATATATATATATATATATATATATATATATATATATATATATATATATATATATATATATATATATATAACCTGTAGCAAGAATGGCTGCAAAACACGCGTAACTGCTCCAGATGAAAAATCGAACCACTGCTCTAAATAAGTCACAGCTGTCTGCAAACCAGCATTTAAATTTGACTCAATTGACTTTTTCATAGCTGCGGAAATTAACTCTGACGTAAGAATACACTAGGCGCTAAACCCAAAAAATCTGTCTTGAAGCAAGTGGTTCAACTTCTTTCGTAAGTCATGCATAATATTATACAGCTCGCAAAAAGACTAGTTATTTCTTTCCAGCACAAGAACAGTTTTTTCAAAGACACGACACAGGATTTGGACGATAAAAAAATAAATTTCGGTGACTTTCAAATGAAATCACCGTAATTAATTTCGACCTGAAGACCGAGCAGTTTTCTTAGTCTTACTGGACAATCTTCTCCAAGTGATTAATTATGCAATTAGGGTTACTGATAATCAATGAAATGTACAAAAAAAGAGACTTTATTTCATTTAATTATTTTCAATTCTACAAAAGTATTTTAAATAAATTTAAATGCAAAAATTTAATCTGATGACGCAATCCATTCATCTTTATCTGATTCGTCGACATTGTAATCGTCATTTTTCTTAGCAGTAATTTCATCATTAGGCAATAACATTTCCATAGTTTCAGGTTTAAAAGGTTTGCTTTTTTTAGAGGCTTTGGGCCTTATACTATTCAGATATGGATCTGATGTTAGCAAAAGTCTGTTAAAGACATCCATATTACAGACAACTCTGCTAAATTTTCTGCTCTAATGTTCCCTATATTGTCGGAAATGTTTATTTCTGGCCTCTGTTGCTTCTTCCGACAAGGCTCCTATAGGTAAGATTGCATGTTCTATGACTGTAGGCCCGTGCATAAGTATTTTATGTACAGTGGATACAGCTCAATGTAAATACTTGCAGTATCTAAACAATAAATACGTAATTTGTTAATGTCGATTTTGTGCTCACTTGATATGACTTCCAATATTATAGCAAACCTATCTATCATATTTTTGTCTATTCCGGTGATATTTGCGGATATTTCTGGATTACTAAAATATCTTCTACTGGTATTCCCATCATTGCCATCTGTTTCCATAATATGGTTTCGGTACATCGACAATCAATCCGAGTTCATCTTTAAATTGTTCTTGAATTTTTGCTTTTTGTTCTTTAACGATGTTTTTTTTAGTTGCTGTTCTCGCTTGCCATTTTTCTAAAGTTATCTTGTACGAAATGTGCAGTAAAGTTTCGAAAAATCGGATTCTGGCGTGTAAAATTGATAATCCAAACTCTATGTTTTTGAAATCTATTGGGAGTTTCGATATTTTTGAAAGGTTGTTGAAATCTGTAGAAGCGGCTTTGCATAAATAGCAATGCATGGTGGATGACGTATTTGTTGCTGCATTGCACACTTTGTCACCTACCATGGTTAACAACAACTTATGACAGACTTTTATTTCATAAAACCCGACCGTTATTTTAGTTCCCGTCAAGTTCTTTATTTGCTCATTTTGGTAATTTATTTCCTCGTTGGTAATATTTGTGGTTTCATGAATGAACCGGATCCGAATAGGTCGGCAAAAGCGTGGAGACGAGGGTAATGAATTATTCCAAATTATCTTAATATTACTCAGGCAAATCAGCTGCAGGGGTACTAGCGATGATTGAAAAATGTTTGCATTGGAGTCACTATTGTTAATAAATTTTTGTTTGAATTGAGATTGTTGTGAACCATCACATCCCCATTTATAAATAAGTTCCAAAGTTGTTAAATCTTCTAATTTTAATGTTGCTAGCACTTCTTTAAGATAGAAAATAAGACGCTGAGCTGTATGGTCTAATAAACTTTGTAATTTAATTTCTGCACATGTTTCTGTGACATAGTAAGCATTAGTGTCTGGATAGCATTGTTGTTTTGCTTTTTTAACGATAGAGAAACAAGGATAGATTTTAGAACTATCTGCGATGATTTCGTATTGTTTTCGGATTAACGATGCTTCTACAAACATGGAAAAGCTTTTTCTGCCAATAATTGCGAAAATATAGCCTTAGGTGTGCCATCATTTATAATAGCTTTGCAGTATTTATTACCACGTGTTGGCGATGAAATGATATCCTTATTCACATAGGCTCTATCGACGTTTCTTTTCTCACGAAGTGCCATCTGACCAGCATAAACCAGTGTTTCTGCATCATTATTTCTTCTTAGATGTGCTGTTTTACGACGTTTACTACAATCAGTCAACTTAGAAAAATCTTTAATTGGCGACCAAACGCGCATGTATCTTCGGCAAGTATTGAGGCATTATTCAGTATATCAAGCGTGCTTTGTAACTAGTCATGATATTTTAAAAGAAATAATGTTTTGGTTATTTTTGCCATTTGCAACTTCTTCTTCATTTTTGACTTAAGAACAGAAAAGGTTTGAGTAAAATTAGTTTTTTGCTCGATCGGAAATTTTTTTTTTTTTTCAATATATATTGAAAAAATATATATATATATATATATATATATATATATATATATATATATCTTTTGTATATATATATCTTTTGTATATATATATCATTTGTATATATATATATATTTTGTATATATATATATATACAAAAGATATATATATATATATATACAAAATGCCATAAATATACTTTTATAGAGTGTACACAAGTGGTGTATTTATAAAACAATTATTTTTTTGTGGTAACTTTATTGAAACTGTTTTAAAGGATTTTATTTGAATTATTTTTTTTTTTTTAATATTTCACTTTAACAAACTATATATATTTTTATATTTATAAATATACTTTTTTCAATTACAAATGTACTTGTTAAATATATATTTATATAATGATGAGACTCCTAAATCGAGTCCTGAGTGCAACTATGCAGATGAGACTCCTAAATCGAGTCCTGAGTGCAACTAAACTGTTTATCTAGGCCGGTAGGTGTAGATTTCACGAAATATGAGAGCACTGGCGAAGCACGAGCAGCATTTACGTTTCCCTGGTAGAGATCTGACTTTGAATGAATAATGAAATCGTTGCGTCAATATCATCAATCATATATATTCTGAAAAAGTATTTTCATGGATATACAAATAGTAACTCAGCTAATATTAAGTAAACACCAAAAAATGCAGATCTTTATATATATATATATATATATATATATATATATATATATATATATATATATATATATATATATATATATATATATATATATATATAACAAACAATAATAACAATAAAAAGTAAAAGACGAATTGATTCAATAAAAAATAAATTTAAGATAGAAAACGTATAATTAGATCAAAAGAATTACACTAAGTTAATGATACTTTAATGATAACTACAATATTTAGAGAGGAAAGAAATAACACTTCAAAAATAATTACTAAAAAATTACACATAACAAGCGTAAAAAAAAGTAAATAAAGAGTGAGAACCTTTTAAAAAATGTATGCAGACCAAAAAAAAAACAATAGACAAACAATAACAACAAATCATAAGTTAAGAAAACATAAATTAGAAAACTGAATAGTTTAGGACAAATAATAATTAACGATATTGGACAAACAGAAAACAATAAATGTTAATTACAACAACAGCCACAAATAGTTTACAAAAATCATAAAAAAAAGTTTTAATTTGAATATATATCTTTTAATTGTCTTCTCCGACTGTTGTTTTTCGCTTATCATCTCTTTTTCTTAAATATCTTTTGTTTCATCACACTTTTCTTTTTTCTTTTATTTTTCAACTTTTTCCCGATTAGTTTTCTTTTAATTATTTCCTTTCCATTTTTTTTCTTTTTCTTTTTTCTATTCTTTACTATTTAATTATTTTTGTATTTATATAATTATGCTTCTTTGGTATGTCATCGCTAATGGCGGACGTGTTTTTTTAACGGTTAACGATAAAGAATATAAAATAATAAAAAACTCAACTTAAAATTAAAAAGTAAATAATATTTATCTTTAAGTATAAATATTTAATTAATCGTTCGATAAATTGATTTAAAGTACACACACACAGAAAAAAGAAACAGAAAAAAAAAGATCAAAGAGAAAAGAAAAAGAAAAAAAAAAGAAAAAAAATTCGAAAAAAAAAAAAAAAAACCCAACAAAAAACATATAATTTTTTTTTTTTTTTTGTCATTCACCTCCCCAATAAGGGAGGTCGATTTTTGACATCAACTTACCTGTGCCCTCAGATAGCTAGAGTTTTTTAAACAAATAAAGAACTAATTAAAACTTTTTAACAAATTTGCTTCAGTTTTTTCGCGTTTAAGTTTATATGTACAATTTTTTTCATTTTTTACGACTTGAATAATAAATTCGCAATTCAAAAGAAACAAGAAATTTCTGAAAACGCGGGAAAAATTTACCAAAATAATTGTAAACAAACCGATCGGCTGAATAATAATAATAATAATAATAAATAAAAAAAGTGCTGTTAAAAAAACATGCAATAAATGGCTCCAAAAACTAGACAAACCACTAAAAAACTCATCGGAGGTTCAAAATGCGATTTTCCTGTAAGCGATTTACCAATTTATAGAGACATTTATAGATACTTTTATTTCGTACAATCCGAGTTAAAAATAAATCAAACATAATTGATAAAACCCAACAAGAACTTGTGAAAATTTGGTTAAAAGTAAATCCAAAATTGCCCTTGATAAAAAGTGAGTCAATTTATTTAAAATTGGTCAATTTAACACAGTAAAACTTATTAATGGAAAAAAGTGCAAAAAAAAGACCTCAAGTTGCAGACCTCAAGTTGCAAAGACCAAAGTTGCAACCATATAATGCGTTGGAAAATCTTTATGATATATCTACCTGTAGATGCAATTTGAACGAAGTTCCCTGCTATGATGATAAGGTCAAATGCAAATATCTAACCTGCAATAATAAACATTTAGTATGTGTTTGTCCTCCAGAGTGCAAGGTTAGTTAAGAATTTAACTTTTTCTACAGAGTTTTTTTGAACTTTCTTCACAAGAATTTATCTACTTTATTATCATTTATTTATCATGTTTTTTTTAAATAAATATATGATATTTTATTTAAATTTGCTTAGATTCCGCTGAAGGAACAAGAATACATCAAAGACCAAAGATCACAAAATGGCACAAAAGGAAACATTCAGTTAGGGCCAGTAGATTGGAGCTCAGTAAAAAAAGAAAAAAGAAGAGTAGGAAAGTGTTCTAATGTTAAAGTACCCTCATGTGATAATGGCGAATCATCTTTTGATATAAATTTGGAGTCTGATACAGTAAGAATAAGAACAAATTTATAGTTTCCTCATTCAAATGATATATATATATATATATATATATATATATATATATATATATATATATATATATATATATATATATATATATATATATATATATATATAAAGATAAATGCTTTAATATACAAAAATATTAAATTTTAGGAATCAATAAAAATACAGTTCTTTTAGGAGACTTCAAGATTAATCTTTAAAAATATGAATCTTGTAATGATGCTTCTAACTTTCTAGATCTGATGTACTCTTCCTCCCTCTTCCCATTAATTACTCAACCAACCAGAATTACTCCAAAATCAAAGACACTCATAGATAATATATTTGTAAACTTTCACACACCAAATACTAAATCAGGCAATCTAACAGTATCGCTTGCTGACCATCTTATTCAGTTCATATCCTTTCCATGCAAGAACTTGAAACAGTCTCTTCCCAAAGTATATCGTAGATGTTTTAAAAATTTTGATGAAAAAAAGTTTCTTAAAAACTTAAAAGAAACTCATCGGCTCTCAATAAATCAACAAGGGAACTATTGTGTTAATAACTTTACCTCTAAGTTTTAGGATACACTTAGAAGATTACTTGATAATCATGCCCCTTTCAAAATGTCTACCAAAAAAGCTAATAAATCTTTATCGAAGCCATGGATTACCAAAGGAATCATTACGTCAATACAAATTAAAAATAAGTGGCACAAGAAGTTCATTAAATGTAAAAATGAGAATTTAAAGCTACAATACTTCCAAAAATTCAAATATTATAGAAATCAAATTAGTAACCTACTGCGATACTCAAAAAAAACAAATTACTCAATCTACTTCAATGAAAATCTGAATAACCTTAGGAACACCTGGAAAGGAATAAGAAGTATTATTTCTACTAAATCAAAGAACAACAATAACATAGATAGTTTAAATATCAATAATAAAACTATAACTAACAAGGAAATAATTACAAACACATTTAATGATTACTTCTCATCAATTGCAAACAATCTTGCTAAAGAAATTATACTTCCTAGATTTCACTTCAGCCACTATCTAAAAAACCAAAATCCTGATTCTTTTTTTATATCCCCAGTTACTTCTCAAGAAATAAATGACTATATCTCACTCATGAATCCGAAAAAAAGCACTTGACCCAATAGCATTCCTTCAAAAATAATGACCTTAGCATCTCAAGAATTGAGTTTCCCCTTGAGTATTTTAATAAATCAATCTTTCCAATCAGGGATATTTCCTGACTTATTCAAAATTGCAGAAATTGTTCCAATTTTTAAAAGCGGCTGTAAACAAGATCCTTGTAACTATCGGCCTATATCCTTACTCTCAAATGTAGGTAAACTAATTGAAAAGCTTATGTATAACAGGCTACTAAGTTTTTTAAATCTATCAGATAGCTTAGTTTATCAGATAGTTTGCAATTTGGATTCCGAAAGAAACACTCCACTAACCAAGCACTCATAGATATAACTGAAACCATACGTGAGGCTTTAGATCATAAACAGTTTGCTGGTGGAGTGTTTGTTGATTTGCAAAAAGCATTTGATACTGTCGACCATGAAATCCTATTATCAAAGCTGTATCATTATGGTGTAAGGGGAATTGCTCTGAACTGGTTTAAGTCATATCTAAATCGTCGTCCTCAAAGTGTTACTATTGGTAATATCTCATCCACTACTAAGTTTTCGTATATAGGGGTTCCTCAGGCTTCAACTCTGGGTCCCCTTCTTTTCCTTATCTACATAAATGATTTAAATACTTGTATTAAGTACTCGAAAGTGTATCATTTTGCTGATGACACTAACCTCTAATTGTAGATAAGTCTTTAAAAAAGCTAAATAAGTACCTAAATTATGACTTGGCATCACTGGTCCAATGGTTAAGATAAAACAAAATATCTCTGAATGTCAAAAAAACTGAATTAGTTCTATTTAAACCTTGAGGCAAAAAAATTATCAAAAAACTTAATTTTAGAATTAGTGGTCAAAAACTAAATATTGTAGATAAAATAAAATATCTAGGCATATTGTTAGATGAAAATCTCTTGTTCATTCAACAAATTAAATCCATAGCAAACAAAGTCGAGCAAATGGAATGCTTACTAAAATAAGGCATTTTGTGAATTATGAAACCCTTGTGAATATTTGGCATGCTATTTTTAACTCCCATCTACGCTATGGTTGTCAGATATGGGGACAAACTTCATCCATGTATAAAAAAAACCTTAAAAATCTCCAAAATAAATCATTAAGAATAATTCACTTTCAACCTAACAGTTTTAGTTCTGACCCACTATATAAACTTTCTAAAATTTTAAAGCTTGATGAACTTATCTACTTATCAAACTGTGTACTTGTATGGGACATTGTCCACAATAATATGCCCAGCTGCCTCACTAGCTATTTTAAATTCACAAATGATATTCATAGTTATAATCTTAGGTCTGTATCTTATTGTAGTCTCTCTACGCCTTTAAAACTAACACATAAGTATGGCATAAAATCAATCAAGTATCAATCAATTCACTGTTGGAACTCTCTTCCTGTTGAAACTAAAATAGTATTATCCAAAATGACAAATAGAAATGCCTTCATAACCCATGTAAAAAAGTTTCTCCTCAATAAAGATAATCAATGAACTATCATTTATGCTATCACCCCCTATTCATTCTTTGTGGCTGAATTTTTAATAAAATAAAAGTATAAAAAATAAAATTATAAAACCCATAAAATAGAAATAAAAATATAAAACTCATAAAATTAAAATAAAAATATAAAACTCTAAAAATAAAAATAAAAAATACAAAACTCTAAAAGTAAAACATAAAAATATATAAATGTTCATCTAGTCGCAATCAAATACCTTATTTTCATCATCCGATATACTGTATATGGCTCTTAAAGATTGTGGCATTGTTATTAAACTATCTAACATTTAATAAATATACAATAAACTATTTCCTATGCAATCGCCCCTGCTTAATTCTCTTCAACTATTTTTTTTTTTTTTCCTACTTTTTATCTGTCCTATTTTTTGTTATTGATATTATTAAGATTCTTATATTTTTATTTTGCTTTATTATTAAGGATAATCACTATTTGCTATAAATGTTTTATTTTGATTATAGTAGTAAAATATATATTGATTATAGTGTTTTATATTACTGCATTAATATTATTGTTAATATTATTATTATTAATATTTATTTCTATTATTATTAATAATATTTATTATTGTTATTTATTATTGTTATTTATTATTATTATTATTATTATTATTATTATTATTATTATTATTATTATTATTATTATGTTATTATTTATACCATTATAGGTCTTTACACGTCATCAGTTTATAACTGTTTGTAAATGTCCCGCACAATTGTATATATATACAGTATTATTAAAGTGAAAATATATTGGTTGATTGATTGATTGATTGATTGATTGATTGATCATCAGATTCAGAATATAATGAGTCAATTGCTATTTCAACATATAATTTAAGAAAGCTGGATAACTTCGCTTTAGAGTGTGTTCGGTTAGTAACTTTTAGTTATTTCCAATCTACTGGCTCTAACATTCAGTTAGGGCCAGTAGATTAGAGCTCAGTAAAAAAAGAAAAAAGAAGAGTAGGAAATTGTTCTAATGTTAAAGTACCCTCATGTGATAATGGCGAATCATCTTTTGATATAAATTTGGAGTCTGATACAGTAAGAATAAGAACAAGTTTATAGTTTTCTCATTCAAACGATATATATATATATATATATATATATATATATATATATATATATATATATATATGTATATGTATATATATATATATATATATATATATATATATATATATATATATATATATATATATATATATTTATATATATATATAAAGATAAATGCTTTAATATATAAAAATATTAAATTTTAGGAATCATCATCAGGTTCAGAATATAATGAGTCAATTGCTATTTCAACATATAATTTAAGAAAGCTGGATAACTTTGCTTTAGAGTGTGTTCGGTTAGTAACTTTTAGTTTAAGTAGTTGTTTATTATTACATAATACGTATTTGTGTTGTTTATTTAGTTTTTGAAGTTTTCTTTTAAATTTGTTCTCCTTAAAATTTCTAATTATTCAGGAATTTTCCAAATAAAAAGTGTTTTTAAAAAAATAATAAGAATAAAAATAATTTTCCAAATTTAAAATTTTTCCTACAAGAAATACAATGGAAAGACTTGAAAATGCTGTTTTTATGGATGTGTTAGCAATTTATATTTGAACTTGGTTATAATCTACTCTATTATGTTTTCGCATAAAATTGTTTATTTTATTGTAAATTTTTAGGTATGCGATATCGAGTGAAGCTGCTGCAGCTCTTGGTAATGGACTTTTAAAAGATCTTGGAGTTATTACTAAAACTGATAGAACTGATGTTTTAGATAAAAGTAAAATGGATAGAGCTAAAAAAAGGGTTTGTCTTCAGTCTGTTGCTGAACACAATATCATAGTGCAAAATCTATCATGTATTGGATGTGACAGTAAGGATGATAAAGGTAGCCTGGTTTATAGAAGTATGTTGCCAGATAGTATTAGCAAAAAAAATAAATTAATAGAAAAGGTTTATTATCTAAGTTTTACAGTAGAATCGGGAGAAATGAAAGGTAGATATCTGACACACAAAGATATTTTAAATGCCACAGGAGAAAATTTAGCGCAGTCTACTTTTGAAGTGTTAAAACAATACAACAGTGTTGATTCTTTGTTAGGAATTGTTTTTGACATTACAAATGTCAACACTGGATATAAAACTGGCCTTTGTGCCAGCCTTGAAAAAAAACTTGGCAGAACAATTCATAAAATTGGCTGTGCACTTCATAGCAACGAGTTACCTTTGCGCCATATTATGAGCAGCTAGATGGCGGTACAAACACTTCGCAAACATTTTTTGGTGAAATTGGAAAAGGTGCAGCACAAGACCTTCATCATAAACCCATTGCCAAATTCGAACCTGTTTTGACTTCTTTAGTTTTTCCAGAAAATAGTGTGATCAATAACTTAAGTTCTGATCAAAGGTTGTTGCTGAAATATGTGTGTGGTATAAGTTCAGGTAAGCATATCCTATTATAATTTATTGCTAAAAAAGAACATTTAAATCTATTTAAATTTAGGTGTTGTAAATCCAGTTTACGCTCATTATAAAATTGGTCCAGTTAATCATGCTAGGTGGCTGACATTAGCAATACGTATTTTAGTTTTGTATTCAAGAACAGAACAACCTACTCCTGTCCTTAAAGAGATAGTAAATTACATACAGACAGAGTATGGCCCCACATGGTTTGCTATTAAGAAATCAAAGAATTTTACTGAAGGGCCAAAAATTTTATACACAACATTAAAAAATATAAAAAATTTTAGCCAAACTATACAATACATTATACTACCTGTTGTTTTAAGAAATGCGTATTGTCTTCTTCCAGAAAACTTTCTTTTATCCCTTTTTGTTGATGATTTGAAAGATACGAAACAGAGCAGTTAAGCTGATTTTAAAATGTCGAGATAATCCTCCGGCTGCCCCAGTTGATAGAATATATGGTGGTATCAGAGAATTAACAAAATCCCAAATATTGAAAATCTTGAAATTGAATGTGACACATGGGCAGATCTGCTTTCTGATGATAAACTGATCTATGAACTTCCTGCTACTAAGAACCTGACTTATCTGGAACTACTCAATACAATTGAATGTAAACCAGATCCTTGTGAGCTTGGTTGGGACTTTCCGCTACATAGTCAGTCTGTTGAGCGTGCTGTAAAGCTTGTTTCTGAGGTTTCAAAAAAAGCCTATTCTTTACAGAATAGACATGGTTTAGCAGTAGGGAAGCAAAAAAGTCGAATATCAAGAAAAAAGTTTTATTCAAAAAAAGATTACGATGTATAGTATCCATTGTTTTTAATTTTCTCAACACTCCAATGCTATAATTTATAGTATTATAACAAATTTTAAAGTTAATTAAATAATTAAATTTTTTGTCATAATTAAATTTTTTGTCTTTGTTTAAAGTCTATCTATTTATAACCAAAATTTAATTGAAATATTTATTAGTTGCTAGTTTTTTTAACTATTGTTAAATTATACTTAGGAAGCTAAGGCCGTGCTCTACTTGGTATATGAAACGATTGCACTTGAGGATCTGAGAATATTTTGAAAACTAATTATTTTTTTCAATCTAAAACCAAATACTTTTGTTTAGCTGTAACGTTGTATAATGAGTGTTAAATTTAAATTTTATAATACCTAAGTTAAACAAAAAATTAATCCCTCTTTGTTTGATAATCTTCGAGTATTTAAAAAACTAAAAAAAAAATTTAAAATTATTTAAAAAAGTTTAATTACTTTTTCAAAAACGCAGCTACCTTTTTGCTACCTTTTTTCACAAGTTCATACAACAGTGACAGATCCAGGGGCAATGGAAAGATGCATAAACAACCGGAATCTGAAAGTACTAAAATTTTTTAGAAATAGAGGACCTATTTTTTTTTAGGAGACTTAAATTTCATACAAAATACAAAAATAAATTCACCCTCCCTCCACCACCAAAAATTCTTGGATTTGTCACTGTCATGCAACCCTGTAAAATTCCACCTCAACTTGTATTTAAACTGTTTTATAACTAAAAATAGTATATAGTTAAAGGCTGCAAAGTAAGACCGGGAATGCCACAGTTTTGACTATTTAAAAAAAAATTGAAGAATTATCTAATAATGTATGGTTTGCAGTTTTTAAGTGTAAAGTTAGGGGTAACTGGAGATTTTCGGTAATGATTTTGCTAATTTATAACGACACAGCAACATTCGTACTGTAAATGGAAGCAAGAGATCTAAAAAAACGGAAAATATAAAATTACTTTTTTTGGATTACACTCTTCAATTGTTGCATAGATTTTTAATCAAATTGGCGTTTTTACTGAATTTTTCTTTTCATTTGCGAAAAATTTGGCTTGCATTGAAAAAAAAAGCAAGATTGTTCTTAATCCCTGACATGATTTCCCAGCTATCTGAGGGCGCAGCAAGTTAAAATTTTTAAAAAAGTACAAAATCGACCTCCCTTACTCCCTAAGGCCGATAAAGCCACTACAGATGAGGAGGCTACTTTTGGTTATAACCCTCTCGAGCGCTCTCTCACTACACCACTACCGCATTATTTTTTATTTAGAATATAAGATTTAAAAACTAATATTAAGAATAGAGTAAAAGAAACAAAAGAAAAAATAAAGGTAAACAAATAAAAAAGAAAGATAAGAATAAAAGAAAGAAATAAACCATTAATTGAATAACGAAAGAAATGATAAAGCGCAAAATTCGAAAATTTGAATAAAACAAAGAAAAAGAAAAGTTTTTTTGAAAAAGACAAAGACAAAGGTATTTTTTTAATTTTCATGTTGTTGTATTTATTATTAATTTATCTGTTATTATATTGCTTATTATTAGTTAAACTATATTATATTTACTATATTATTTAAAATACTATATTTAATTTACTTTAAACTATATTATAATACTATATTATTTAATCTAGAATTATTTGTATATAACTATATTATTATCCAAATTTATTATTTATAACTATATTATTATTTATATATATTATTTATTCTGATTTATCTGTATTTCATTTTCATTTATGTCAATCGTAATTAGTTGATATATTTTTTATTATTTTATAAATAAATTAACTTTATCTAGTTTTGATATACAAAGATATCTTAACTGTTACTTTTTTTTAACTATTATTGTTATACTTATTTTTAATTATTATTGTTATATCATTTTTTTTTTCTTCTTCTTAGCATCTTTTGTTTATTCTATTTTACTTTTTAATGATGGTAGTGATGGTAGCGGCATATGCTTTAAGGCGGTAGCTAAAAATCATTCAGCAACTCAATGTGACTTATGTGACAAATGGATACACATAAAATGCAATCGAGTCGACAAACTAACATATGAAAAAGTCAAACTTTAAATACTTGGTATTGCCTAATCTCTACAAAAACATTTCTTCCCTTCTCTAACATTTCGAATCTTGAGTTATCTACCATACTTGCAGGAAAGTCACTAAAATTCAACAGGGTAAAAAATCTGAAAATACAAATTTAAATAAGCTTTTTGGAGACTTCAATGACTTTTCTTCCACTTCAATTAACTGTGAATATGTAGATGTTTCTATGTACAATAAATCGTCCCAAAATTCTTTAAGTTATCTCCATATATATCTTCATTACCTTACCATATTGACGATTTTAAAATACTATTAGCATCTTGATAGTTTGCCTGATATCATTGGGATTACTGAATCTAACTTGTACGATAACGATCTCTCTATAACTAACGTTGAATTAGAAGGATATTTATCTGTTCACACGCCAACTAAAGCTAAAAAAGGTGGTGTTTTAATGTATTTAGTCTAACTTAAATTTTAAAATTAGATCTAAATTAGTCCTATTTAAAAGTAAAGAACTCGAATCTATATTTATTGAAGTTATAAATTTAAGAAAAAGCAGTCTAATAGTGAGTTGTTTATATCGCCATCCATCAATGTGTCCAACTGAATTCGTTGATTCCTACCTAAATCCACTTCTTGAGAAAATTAGCTTAGATAAAAAAAAGTTTATTCTAATGGCAGATTTTAACTTTGACTTAAATACAATACCTCCAATGAGGTATCTTATTTTTTAGAATGAATGGTTTCAAATTCTCTTTTTCCTTTTATTATACAGTCTACACGCATAACCACTCATTCTAAGACAATAATTGATAATAATTTTTTAAACTTTTATTCTTCTGAAATAATTTCAGGGAACCTTACCGCTTCAATATCTGATCATCTTGTTCAGTTTATGTTAATTCCACATACCAAAACCCAAACTTCATCTGAACCTATTGTAAGGCGATGCTTTAAGGTGGTACCCTTAGAAAAAAGTTATTTTCTTTTATAGTAATAGCGAATTGTCTTAATATCAATTTTTCAATTCTAGAAATAAGTACGAATTAAAAAAGTATAATTTTTTAACAAAATGGGCATTTTTTAAAGTCAGCATTTTTTTACAGTTTTATGAGCAAAAATAGGAGATACTTAGGACACAATAATTTTAATACAACTAATGCATATAATATGAAATTTAGTACAATAAAATATTACATATATATAAAGGAAATGAGCGAAAAAAAAACTATAGGCAGCCTTAAAAACTCATAATAGCGGTCAACGTGAAAAAATACACTTTTAAAACTCTCTATCCAAATACAAAATTAAAATAAATGAAATCAAATAAAGAGTCATTAATTTCTTTCTGCTCAGTTTCTAGGTATATGTTTGAAGAAAGTTTCCAAAAAATTTCAAGTCATGAAGTTTAATATTTATGAAAATATGAGATTTGAAAATTTTAAAATTGCATGAAAATCATATTTCGCAGAAAATGCAATTTAAAAACTAAAATACAAAGAAAAACAATACAAACTTTTATTCTAAAACCCAAATTTTTCATCTTTATACTTTGAAAGACCCCTCAAATAATATATCAATGGAAAGAGTATAGAATGACATTTAAAAAGTATATATATACACCATTTTGACTTTTTTTTCTTCATGTTTTTTTCTAGGGGAACCACCTTAAAAACTTTAAAAAAGCTGAATTTATCCTAAAAAATTCAAATGTTGAATGGGATGACCATATAAAAGACAACTGATGTGATGTTAACAATTCTATTAAAAAATTAATTGAAATACTTGATCATATCTCAAACAAACATGCTCCCTATAAAAAATTAACAAAAAATCAAATAGTTAATAGTAATCAACCTTGGGTAACGAAAGGCATTCTCAAGTCAAGAACAATTAAAAATTAACAACATGAAAAATATTTAAAATCAAAAAACTGTATTTCAAAAAATTTAAACCCTATCGTAATAGTATAAGCAATCTTCTAAAGTTTAGCAAAAAGAAATATTACACAAACTTTTTAAGCTACAACATCAATAGCATAAAAAACACCTGGAAGGGTATAAAAAAGTTGATAAATGTTAAACAAAGTAGTAGTAATTCCCTAACAAGCGTACTTATTAACAACAAATGCGAAACCAATCCTAAAACCAATCCTTAAAATGTCAAACCATTTTAATAAATTCTTTACCACAATTGCTTCAAAATTATCCTACGGAATTCCAAATTCTAAATTCAACTATCATGAGTACCTGACCAATCCTACTTGCAACTCTTTTATATGCAACCAATAACGAAGGAGGAAACTCTCGATTATATCAACTATTAAAGAAGGGAGGAGTGTTTGACCAAACAGTCTTGCAACAAAACTTTTTAAACTGGTGTCAGGAACTCTATGTAAACCAATTGGCATCATTTTAAAAAATTCATTTCGCAAAGGAACATTTCCTGATGCCTTTAAGCTAGCTCAAATTATTCCGATTCACAAAAAAGGATCTACAATTGACTGCACTAACCAATATGTCTTCTTTCTCATTAAGCAAAATATTTTAAAAAGTTATGCATAATAAACTATACAACTTCCTAAACCAAAATCAATGCTTAAATAAACACCAGTTTGGTTTTGGTTAAAAAGTATTCGACAGCTCACGCTCTTATTGAAATTACAGAAAGTATAAGAGTTGCTCTTGATAATGGCAACTTTGCTTGGGGTTTTTGTCATTTTGAAAAAATACTGTAGACCACGAAATTCTCCTCTCAAAGCTTAACTATTATGGTGTACGTGGCATATCCTTGCAGTGGTTCAAATCATACCTTTCTGATCGCCAACAGTTTGTAACTTTAAATGGAACCAGCCCAGATATTAAAAACGTTTAAATTTGATTACCTCAGTGATCCATATTAGGTCCTCTTCTCTTTATTATCTATATCAAAGATCTCAATC